TCTCTGTATTATTTAAAGGCATATCAGAAAAGAAAAACCTAATATTTGCCTCTAGTGACTAGTTGTTGTTGTTGTTGTTGGGTTTATAAGGCTGTCCAATCTGAAAAGATTATTTTTGCCAGTCTAAACTGTTTTTTCGAGTTATTTATCAGTGATGATAAGATGGCGCTGTTTCTTTTGCTCTGACAAATTATATTCTAGTTTATAAAAGTATCGTTTGGCCGGGTGTGGGTAGCTGTTTCAATTAGGCCAGCGGCTTGCAGACGACCTCATTTAGACGAGGCTCGGCTTCCATGCGAGAGGCTGCAGTTTCAGGACATGTCACTGTCCTCCCGCCAGCAGCATCCGGCTGATCTCATGTTTTCTAGCTTTTTCAGAGGCTCGGCTTCCATTCGATAGGCGGCAGCCAACGCATGCTTTTGGGATGCCGTTTGCCAGCCACCAGCTACCACTGAGCTAATTAAAAAAAATGCAGTTAGCTGCCGGCAGCTGGTATATTTATTTTTGACGCCTCGCCTAAGGTATTGCAGGGGTCTTGTTAATTATTTTTGAAGGAGGTAATTTGAATTTTATAGGAGGTACCATCACTGCGAGGGAGCGAAGCGACCGAGGGGGGGAGGGTGTGGGAGGGGGGTGTCCCCCCTCCCACGGTAGGGACCTTTTGGGATTTTCCACTTGAAATCGTGCAATCTGGTGCATACCTAAGAAGAAAATTTGTAGTTATCTTTCCTACCTTGTATTACACATATATATTGTAATAAACACACATATTGTTCATGTTTAATATTACATGAACAATCATAACTCATAAGAAAAGTTATTAAGTTGATAATTATTTATCACTTTGTACCATTACTTTGTAATTTCTAATTAAACTGAGATGATGCACCATACTCAATCTTTCTACATCATGATTTGTTGAATACATGTACAGTATTTAAATAATGGGCAGCAGAGGCTAGATTTTGATTTTTTTTTTTTACTTGTGACTTTTATTTGGCTCCCCATATGAATTCTCATTTAATTTTTTTTTTTGACATGAAATTATTGAATACATTTAAGAATTTACTTCAGTTCCTGTTCATTTTATAATGTTATATCACTGTTTTTCCTGACAAAGTGAAGACACTGTATATTTGTTTATTCAACTTTTTTAAGGAAATAAATGAAAATAAAATAAATGAATTAACCGATTGGCTTCTATTTTAGTCTATCTTGTCCTTTGTAGACCTCAGCACTGCGTGAGTGTCCAAAATGTACACATTCAATCGTAAACATTCAGGACAGTGTGAGTTTGGGAGATATGTACTGTCTGTCCAGGGATATGTGAGTTTAACTCACATATCCCTGGTCTGTCTATACAATGTCATTTTGTTTGCAGAATTTCTTTTCTTACATGTACATCAAGACTCTTACCAATCACCAGAATAATTCTGATTTCAGAGATCTTCTGGTTCAGATTCTGAGCCAGAGGACTCTGATAAATTAAGAGCCTTCATAAGTTCTTTGCGATCGGAAGTTAGTTTTGAATATTCGAGGAGCGCGAGCCTGCATATGGGTCATTCCATCGGGTTGGGTCATAAATTGTGACATGAAGGTTCAAAATTCAGAGTTGTTGAATAATTTGTTTATTGTTATATCCTGTTTTTAACACCCATTCTTCAATAGATTCCACTGGAATTGTGTGTATTCCTTCGCACACTTTCATTTAAAATGAAAAAACAGACACACCAAAAAACCAACGTTACAAGGACATCTTTTTTTACTTGCTCATTTATTTTCTGATCTGAAACTTTGTCACAGTCTGTACTCCACTTTTTTGTGTGTAGAAAACATTTAGATGATGGGAGCAATAGTTTAGAATACTTAAAACTTGAACACAGCAACATTATATCAATTTATAAACATGAAACAAATGAGGAACTAGCAATCTTCAGATCATGTTTTTTTCTAAAGGGTAATCTTTTCTCTTGCATAGAAAATCTTGGCTACATTCCATGAAATGTGCCAATTAATTGATGCATGAAACATATTTAATGAGATGATAACACAATTGAAAGGAAACCTGCAAGATTTATGGTCTATATTCACCTCAACACCTCCAGTTACCTATGTTACACGGACATCATGTCCGAGTAACATCAGTATGATATTAGAGTAACTATCCTCTTATACTCATTGAAAAATGAAAGACTACATCAAATGTCATCTGAAATATATTTTATCCCTTGATCAGTAAATTAAGAAACAGTATTCATACAAGAGGTATATTGATAGATATCAATGATCAACTTTATATCTTCGTTAAAATAGTGATTAGATTGGAAAGATCTTTGTTTTCCAGGAAGGTTTCGATGACTGGTCATTTTACCTGCTCTCTTGATCTCTCTCTGCCGGAGCTGAATCCTCAAGGGAGGTATAGGAGCCATGAATGAAATGGATGCAGCAATCTAATAAATATGCATGAAAAGAAATAAATAAAAACCAATGAGTAAAGAATATTAAATGAGATAAAAATAAAACAAAACTGTAAACTGTTTCTGTGATTTTTCATTTCAAACGTGTGTTGTGTTTGCAATTATCAAGTACTTCTATCTAGATCTGTTGTAAAATCAAATTGTAAGAATTAAGGATGGAACAACTAGACAGAGGATTGCAAGATGGATAGGGAGTTCCTCACTTTTGGCTCGTTGCATGCCCAAATAGAAGTAGGTATTATTATTGGTTGTTCATTTTGATTTTTCTTTTAAGTTTAATATTTGTGTTGAATTATAAATTTTTGTTAAAAAATTATATTTGTTATTTATCATTATTTGGAGGGGGAGGGAAGGTGTTGAAGCCCCTTATCCCTCACTTCAACCTTTGGATGAGGGGGAAGGGGAGCCAGATCAATGATTATTTAATTTATAAAAAAAAAAAAAAAAAAAAAAAAAAAAAAGGCTCATTACATTATTATGTATCCAATTTTAATTGAATCGGAGGGGGGGGGGTGCCCTCCCCCTTTAATCCATTCTTCTCTATCTCAACCCCAACCCTCAACCCCCTTTTTTTGCCCAAAAAGTTGTGTATTTCGGGTCTCAGATTGAACTTCCTAACTTGAAGGAAGCAATGTTCAATAACTTGTGTTTTTCGTTAGGCTTAGCCATCATTGTTCAATGACAATTAATGGCACCATATAAATAATATTAACTAATTTAAAACTTGTCAGAAAAAATCTGAGGTGTAGGAACATCATGAATATCATTATTTACGGGATTCTTATAACTAAATTCAATTTCTGTTTAAGAAACTAGCTTTTTAAGGGTAAAAGTCCGGCATTGATTTTGCATGTTTCGTTATAACACATATATCAGTATGTGGGACAACAGTAAAATATTCACTCACATGTGAGGGTTTGAAAACCGGTTTAAGTTGAAAATAACACAATTTAAAACGGAATTTCATTTTTAAAACATGGAATTTCATTGTCCATGATAATAATTCGGGCCATAAAAATAACTTAAAAAACATATTACGTACCAATTTGGGCGCTGACGGGCGAAAATGGCTGCACCACGTTACAAAGACATCTACACGTTTGTGGTTGCACTGTAGGGGTAGGTCGTCGCAGTCCGGCAAAAAACATGTTCTGCGCATTCGTGAATAACTAGCAGGTCATTTTAACACCGAAAACTGAAGCTAGCGGGCTGGTTTACATCTCAAACACCGTAATTTCACACCTACGTTACCAAATTACTAAGGACATCGCGCCCGATTTTCGCGGTAAATTAATTGTTTTCTTATATTTACCGACCGATTTAATCATCATTCTTTCTACATATGTTCATGAGGGGTTGTACCTTCCTAATAAGATGAAACTTTCTGAGAAAATATCCTGCTAAATTTGTGTAAAATGCTAGAATTACCGCCGTTACGAAAAAAGTGCCTAGGACATCGTTGGTAACGTAGGTATTGTGTTTTTTCAATATGAAATAACTTGCTGATTTTTTGCACATTTCACTTGAGCTTCTCAGACATACTAGGGGTACTAAAGGTGACATGTTTTAAGTAGGAAACATTGCATTATGATGAACTTTTTTCCAGAAATAAGTTCATGAAAATGACATGTTTTCATGTCACAACTTTCACCCTCAAAATCGCTGAGACATCGGTAGTAAAACTCTCACCAAAAAAAAAATATGATGAAGAAGTTTCTGTTTTCATGTTTATTTATTCTGTACTACATTACTCTTCAATATAACATACTTTTAATTTTCTAAAAATACATTCAAATTTGAGTAAATAGCTTCTAAACATTCAAACACGTGAAAATGCTGAAAAGACCCAACCCGATGGAATGACCCATATATCATGCGAGCTAGCTGCGGGGGTCCGCCGGGGACTGCCGTGACCGGCCTAAACTCAGCCGTGTTCAAAACTCTGTTGCCGATTTGCGCATCTCAGAATCTAAAGTACGTTGTCTCTAGACATTGCACGCACGTGTATAGGCCCCGGTTTCCGTGATCTTCAAATATCAAATCGGCAACGGATAGTTTGGTTACAGCGAGCTAGCTTCAGTTTTGTTATGATCAGTGTGTATATATTTTGTGCAGTGCATTGTCTTCTCGCGTGCACATCGGGATCGCAATGGGGTAGGGACGGGCGGGCTTGGCCGCCGCGCTGTGGGGGGAGAACTGCGATGTAACGTTAGATAGATAGGTCTAGGTAAGTACGGACGACGTCGCGTTCGTGATCGTAAGGGATTTCGTCGACTGCGGCCGTGTATGTGCGGCACTAATTATATCTTGGACGAAATTAAGGAAATTTTGGATTAGCATTGATTTAGATCTACTTTCTGTGATTTTTGCAAGGTTTATTATAGGAATTATAGCCGGTAAGAAACGAGTGAATAGGCGGCAAGTTTTACCGGTTACCGGCTTTAAACGACAGCCCTGCATTGCCAACCATTAGACTGTAATAAGATCAAATGAGGGCTAGAAAATCCATTCAAAAAGACTCACCCTCTTCCAACATTATCTGGCCAGCTTCCGTCCAAGAGAGCTATGGTCAATGTGCGAATATGATCAGCCACTACCCTGTAAGCCATGTCTACACCATCAACATCATCTGCTCCAATGTTCCCTGTGTATGGACGCACTCCAGTCGCCTGAACAAAGTAAGAGAACACAAATTATATTACATCTCTATTTCAATATCTTACTATTTTCCTAATAGACAAACCTTAAAAGGTAAAGTGAATAGGAGCTCAGAAGTGTAATAAAGAACGTTATCAGTGAAAATACTATTACATAACCAGGGGTCTTGTTAATTATTTTTGAAGGAGGTAATTTGAATTTTATAGGAGGTACCATCAAAAATGATAACGAAGATCAGCTGTATTAAGGTACAAGCTGCAATTACCATGCAACATACATACCTGCCAACATTTGAAAATGAGAATTAAGAATTTTTAGCACGGTATGTCTTCGAAAATAAGAAATCTGTACCCTTAACAGGCGTTCGCACATGCAGCGGCAGTGTCACTGGCAATACGCGGTAAATCTGTGCAAAAAAGGGAATACAAATTCGCTGCTCAATCATGCAGCCCTTCAACGCACGCAATACGTGAACATCGCGTCAAATGATAAAACAAGGGAAACGCTCTCGGCGGTCTCGCCTGCATAACGCAATTCAATATGATAAACCAGAACGTCAATGACGTAGCGCTCATCCGCATCTCGCAACAACAAATATCCTAAATTTTATGTGGTACACTTTTGAACTGGTCAAAAAATAAAAAATCTGATGCCCTGGAAGGTACATAATTTCATTTCATTTGCATAAAGTACCATGAATAATCAATGGAGCAAAATCTCACAATTCTGTGTAGAAGTTTAGTGTTCCAAATTTAGCTCTACCAGATAAGGCAAACCAAATCAAAATCGGTCAAGAAATGAGGGAAAAGAAGCAATTTTTGTTATTTTTGGAATAAATTTTGCATAAATTACCATAATTAATTAATGGAGAACAATTTCAAAATTCTGTGTAGATGTTTAGTGTACCAAAGTTAGCTCTACGATATAAAGCAAACCAAATCAAAATCGGTCTAGAAATGAAGGAGAAGAAGCCTTTTTTGTGATTTCGAATAAATTTGCATAAATTAGCATAGATAATGAATTTCACGATTCTGTGTAGAAAATTTAAATCCCCCTCCTAGCCCTATCATATGAAACAATTAGAATCAAAATCGGTTGAAAAATAACGAAGAAGCATTTTGAAAATCTTGATGTTGATGCCACAACAAAGTCTAAGTTTGTTGACCTTAAATGACCTTTGACCTTAACTTAGTGACCTGAAATTCTACTAACATGATTGGGGATACTTGATAACCCTATAGTCCAAGTTTCATTGACTAAGAACTTATACTTTCAAAATTATATCAAAAATTCAAAAACTTAACCTTAGGTTAAGTTTTCAATGATGATGCTACAACAAAGTCCAAGTCTGTTGACCTGAAATGACCTTTGACCTTGACTTTGTGATCTGAAATTCTACTCACATGATTGGGGATACTTGATTACCCTATAGTCAAAGTTTCATTGACCAAGAACTTATACTTTCAAAATTATATCAAAAATTCAAAAACTTAACCTTAAGTTAAGTTTTTGATGTTGACGCCGCCGCCGCCGCCCTCACCGGAAAAGCGGCGCCTATGTCTCGCTTTTTTGCTACGCAGGCGAGACAACAAGCTTAATTTGACTTAAGCAAGACCAAACAAAAAAAAATAATAATAATAGGTCTAATTATTATTTTATTTTTTTTTAAATTTAAAAAATATTTTTAAAAATCTTGAATTTTTTGAAAAAACAGAATATTCCGGATTATTCGGAAGGGTTGGCAGGTATGCAATTCAATTTGGTGTAGCGATTGTCCAACACAGCTCAGCTACGGCAACATTTGACACGCATCGATCAAACTATACACAGTACATGTACGGTACGCATCGCCATTGCTGCCCAACTCCACTGCACTGGCACTGACTCAGCTCCAGTACCGCATTGCAGCGTGCGTTCACTCTGTATACCAAAGTCCTGACACACTTCTTCCAAATACTGGATTAGACAATTGAAAAGTCAGTACGGTACGGTAAACTCCATGAATCCATCATGCAAGCGTATTCCTTGGGATTGGAAGACTTTATAAGTAAAACTGACAAACTTTTGCAAGTGTAGTTCGGTAATTTAATAGCAAGCAGCGTTATAGCCACGGCGGTCGGGACTGGGCAGGCCGCCCGCCCTGCCGGGCCCGACCGGCACGGAGGACTTCTGCACACTGCTTCCGACCAGCACAAATTTCACATTAAAAAACTGCTCTAAACGTAATTATCTGTGAAGAAAAATACTACTTACATTCGTATTTCCGTCTTGAATCGTGTTTTATTTTCAATTTTAAAAGAATCATGTTTTCAATTTGTCAATAAATGATATTTTTAAAAGATTTTCCGAGACGGTTGTTGTCTAATGTTAGAGTCATAAAAGGTGCCATCTTGAATAGAGATTTTTATTTTCCATAGGAAAAATATGAAATCCCTATTTTTCCTGAATAAATAAATACCATATACTATAATATATATTTATTTCATTATTTATATTGTAAAATTTGTCCGATAGGGTTACAATTAAAATATTAATTTTTTGTTCAATGGGTTTGAGCAAATTGAGCTGAACTTGTTTTGATCACGCACATGTATTCTTGTTCATGGCTTGCGATCGCGACGTAGTGTGGTCAGGATTTGGGATTTAAATGGCGCCAGTGAAGTTGCGCCCACCACTGGATAGGCATAAATCACAAGGGCGGAAAATGGGAAAAAAGTAAATATAATATGAGCAATCATAACATGAAAATTAGGTACAAAATGAAAAGTTTATTAGCTTGCAAAAACGTTTACCTTTTTTTTGCCGAACATCCGAACTAGGCCTTTGCGTTCGGTTCGATTCGGTTCGGAAGTGCCATGTTCGGCAAACTTCCGTTCGGTTCGGCGGTTCGGCTACAGCACTAGATCTGTGCATACTGCACTTCACAATTTAGTATCTCATGAGGTGTTCACACATGTACAAGCATAGCTTAATTTTTAGTGGACCCCTCTGTTTCCAACATGTATTTCTACATTCATTTTAAATGCTTATAATTGAGTTGTAATGTTTTGTTGGAAACATGAGTAGATTGAAATTGAAATTGAAACAAAAAGATAAATGAGTACAGGTGAACCCTTTGTTGTGCGCAGCTGCTTTATCCATCCGTACTTGCCATTAATTTAGTACACACAAACAAAAACAATGGCACAGCCGCACATGGGAATGAGCCTTATGGCAGGCGTGGATCCAGGGGGGCCGAGCGGGCCTTGCCCCCCCCCCCCCCCCCCCGCCAAAAAAAAAAAAAGGAGAGAAGGAAAGAAGGGAAAGGGAAAGAGAGGAAGGGAAAAAAGAAGAGGAAGAAGAAAAGAAAAGAGGGAGATCGGGGGGGGGGGGGGGGGGGGGAGGACTTGCCTCTCAGGCTGTTGCCTCCCCCCCCCCCCCCCCAATCAAAAATAAAAGAGAAGGAAGGAAAGGGAAAGAAAAAAGGAAAAGAGGAGATAAAGGGAAGGAAAAAGAGGAAGAAGAAAAGAAAAGAACGGGATATCAGTTGCAATTTCCCCGCCGACAAGTTGTGGATCGGGGGGGGGAGGGGGCAAAAGGCCCTTGCTCCCCCCCCCCCCCCCCCCCCCCCCCGTCCCCGCTAAAAAAAAAGAGAGAAGGAACGAAAAGGAAAAGAGGAGAGCTAAAAGGGAACAAAAAAGAGGAAGAAAAGAAAAGGGAGAAAAGAGAAGATCAGTTGCAGTTAATCCCGCCAACAATGTGTGGAGCGGGATGGGGGCCAAAATGACTCCCCCCCCCCCCCCCCCCCCCCCCAGCAAACCTCAAAGAGAGAGAGAAAGAAGGGAAGGGAAAGGGAAAAGGAGAGAAGAGAAAGAAAAAAAGAGAATGAAGAAGGGTAAGGGATATCAGTTGCAATTTCCCGCCAACAAGGTGTAGATCAGGTGGGCTGGGGGGGGCTTTTGGGAAATAAAATTCTATTTTTATTTATTAATATTTTCTATAGGTTTATTTCTAATTCCATAACGATGGTTTACAAATAATGCTGAAATTACATAATTTTCTGAGATTTTTCCTCACTTTTAAGTAAATTATACCCTTTTATGTGTTTGTTGGGAAATGACTAATTCCTAAATTTACAGCCAGGCAAGAAAATGCTTCTTGAGATGCCTACATGTCAGGGCCAGGGATGCCAACCTTTCAGAGCACAAATCAGTAATCATAAGGCTAAAAAATCAGTAATTTGGAGACAAAATCAGTAATTTTCTGCGCGACGCAAATTTTTCTGCACGCTGGCAAGCGCAGCTCCCGCAGGCAAGCGCGATAGCACAACAATACCCCATTCACAGTGGCCTCAAACACCGCGACAGCAGCGGGACTGTCCCGCTGCTGTCGCGGTGTTGTCTTCAGTGTGAAGGCTCGGACCCGTTATAAACTATCGCGGGATAACACCGCCTCGCGATAACGCCGCGACAAACTATCGCTAGGATCGCCTAGCTACAGCAGCGGGACAGTCCCGCTGCTGTCGCGGTGTTTACTCAGTGTGAAGGCTCTCCGATATAACACCGCGACAAACACGTGTGATTTGTTTACTTACCTATCACTGACCTCTTTTCTCCAGCAATGGGGAACATAAAGTGAAATAGAAATAAAGTAACCAGTGGATTCAAATTGATTTTATTATTATGTAGATATTATAATTATCCAAATAAAAATATTTCACACTTCAAAAAATTAAAATATTCTGACTGGAAGAAATAAAAATGCTAGTTTTTTAAAAAGTAATATGATCGATAAAAGTATGGATAGATCCATAGCTAAATCGAGCTAGCTACATGAGGAAGAGTGTGTAAAGTACAGCTAGCGCGCGCAATTTCAAGCAATCGAAACCCCGCGCTGAAGTATTTCCGGTCATATCGGGGTCACTCGCGGGTCATGAGCCATGCATACACGTGTTTGTTATGGAGGTAATAAAAATCACCCGCTGCAGCGTGAATGGGTACATGATATTTATCCCGCTGCTGCAGCGGGATAACTTTTCTACTGTGAAAGCATTTGTAGCGGTGTTATGGCGGTGTCGCCGCTCCGCTACAACGCCGCTACAAATTTCAAAACCACTGTGAATGGGGTACAAGTTAAATAAAAGTAACATACCTGTTCATTAGTTGGTGTTACATGTGCATGTAACTCCATATTGAAAGTATTCTACTGAAAGACTGGATGAACTCATGACAAAATGTCTTGATATGTTACTAGAGGTCTATAGTCTTTTGCAGCGTCCTTGCACCTGTAAGCATGGTAAGCTCATTAGTTGCTGTCAACTCCACATTGAAAGTGTTCTGTTGAAAGGTTTGCCCCGCCATGTCCAATGTTGAAATCTGATGCACATATCGTGCACCTAGCATGATTCAGGCTTTTCTTTGAAGGAACGATGCATTTCCATTTCTTCTTTAAAAGTCTGTAACTTCTTGCCACGCTTCTTAGTTGTGGAAGACATGATGATTGATATCTAAATCCAACCAACATGAGTTCAGATTGTCGACGAAAATCGACGAACGCTGTGACAGCCTGTGAGAAATCCGACAGTGTACACGGCGCTAGCGTAGCGAGGCCTGGCGCAGGCCCCGCGGTAGCGGCGCGGCCAAGAGAGGTATTTTATGGAAAGCCGTTGGTGACTTTATTCACGTGCCCCAGACGTAAGGAACGCGGCACACGTCTGCTAAATTGACCAATCACCGACTGTTATTTAGCAGGCGTGTGCAAGGTGCGATAGCACACGCCTGTTACTTTGCCAGACGGATGCGCAGAACGCTCGTAAATTGAATTTTAAGGCAACCAATCAAGTCCGCTGTTACAAAGCTGCTCAGCTCAGTACGTACGGGGCCTGTTCGCTATTACAAAACTGCTCATGTCAGTACTGGATGGGGGACACACCCACGGCCAGGCACGGATCCAGGGGGAGGGCCGAAGGGGTCTCCCCCCTCACCCGCCAAAAGAGAGAGAGAGCTAGAGAGAGAAGGAACAGAAGGGAAGGGGAAAGAGGAGAGAAAGGAAAGAAAGAAGAGGAAAGAAAAGAGGGGAAAAAGAGGGGGGACAACAAAAAAGAGAGTAGGAAGGGAAAAGGAAAGAGGAGAGCTAAAGGGAACAAAAAAAGGGAAAGAAAAAAAGAAACAGGTGAAAAGAAAGGGAGGGGGTCAGATGCAATTAATCCAGCCAACAACATGTGGTTCGGGTAGGGGGTGAAAGGCCTTTGACTTTCGCCCAGCAAACTTTAAAAACAGAGAAGGAAGGGAAGGGGAAGGGAAAGAGATGAGAAAGTGAAAGAAAAAAAAAGAGGAAGAAGAAAGGTAGGGGAGATCAGTTGCGATTTTTCCCGCCATCAAGGTGTGGATCGGGGGCAAAAGGCCCTTGTCTCCCCCTCCCCCCTCAGCAAGAGAGAGAGAGAGAGAGAGAAAGAAGGGAGGGAGCGAATGGGAAAGAGGAGAGAAAGGGAAAGAAAATAAAGAGTAAGAGGAAAAGAAAAGGGGAAAAGATATGGTTTCGGCCTCATCTCGCCTCCCGCAAACGAGACCAAGCACCAGATACGCCACTAGACACCACTGGCGTAATAATTCGAAGGGGGCAGCCTCCCCCTTAAGTGGTTTATTTCTAATTCGATTTCAGTGATTTACAAATGTTGTAAAATGACATAATTTTTTAGTAAATTATACTGTTTTATGAGTTTGTTGGAAAATGACTAATTCCGAAAGTTACAGTCAGGCGAGAAATATGCTTATTTTGAGGTCTGCACGTCAAGGCTCGCGGAACATAAATTGGTGTGGAGTCTAGGGGCGGAGCCCCCAGAAGCTCAGGGGCAATGGGCATTACGTTCAGATGAGCATATTTTGATACCTTATTAATGACATGGGTAGGTCACGAATTGGCGTGGGGTCCAGGGGCTGAGCCCCAGGAAACTCAGGGGCTATCGGGGCATTCATTACGTTCAGATGAGCATATTTTTGATACCTTATTAATGACACGGGTAGGTCACGAATTGGCGTGGGGTCCAGGGGCTGAGCCCCAGGAAACTCAGGGGCTATCGGGGCATTCATTACGTTCAGATGAGCATATTTTGATACCCCGGAAACTCAGGGGTTTTTAGGCATTTTATAACGGTCAGATAAGCATACAGGGGCACGCCTTAGGAACCTTGGTGGTGTCAAGAGGGTGAAGCCTCCAAAATTTCATTTAATTACGGTCAGTTGATCATATTTTGAGACTTCATTATTTTGTGACACTGGCAGGTAACAATTTATTTTTCTTACTTTCTCCCTACTTCTCTTGAATATACGTTTTCAAAATAGTGGGGGGACCCATGCCCCCGAGCCCCGCTGTGCCGCGAGCCTTGACATGTAGACCTCTAAATAAGCATACTTCTCGCCTGACTGTAACTTTGGGAATTCGTCATTTTCCAACAAACTCATAAAACAGTATAATTTACTAAAAGTTATGTCATTTCACAACTTTTGTAAATCACTGAAATCGAATTAGAAATAAACCTCGTTTTATTCTTATTTGGGGGAGTACGCCAGTAGAGTCCAGTGGCGTATATGGCGCTTGGTCTCGCTTTGGGGGGGGGGGGAGGGAGGAGCGCAAAAGCACATCTTTCCCCCTTTTCTTTTCTTCTTCCTCTTTGTTTTATTTCACTTTCTCTCCTCTTTCCCTTCCCCGACCTTCCTTCTCTCTCTCCCTCTCTCTCTTTTTTTTTTGCTGAGGGGGGAGGGGAGGCAAGGGTCTTTCGGCCCCGCGATCAACACGTCGTTGGCTGGATTAATTGCAAGTGATCTCCTCTCCTTTTCACCCTTTTCTTTTTTTTCTTTCTCTTTTTTTTCTGTCCCTTATAGCTTTCCTCTTTTCCTTTCCCTTCCTCCTCTCTTCCTTTTTTGGGGGCGAAGGAGGGCTGGAGGGGAAGGCAAGGCCTTTTTCCCCTCCCCTGATCCCCTTCTTTTACCTCTTTTCTTATCTTCTTTTTCTTCTTTCTTTCCTTTCTCTCCTCTTTCCCTTATTTTCCTTAATCTCTCTCTCTTTTTGTTGGGGGGGGGGGGAGGCCCCTCGCCCCTCCGACGCCTGGTAGCACACACTTTAGCAGTCATGCAGTCAGGTAAAACAAACACTTGCAAACTATTTTTTTGTTTTAATCTGAGAATGTATACTATTATCTAGATCTATTAAGAATAAATCATTGTCAAAATCATTCCATAAACTGGGGTGAATAGGCCACCTTTATAACCAACATCGTATTATTATTATAATTTGATTGCAAGGACCTCAGGGAGAACAGCATAAATACTGATGAGGCTACCCTGGGTAAAGAAGACAGTATTATTATTATTTTTTTTTTTATTTTTATTATTACACATATCTTAAACATTCAAATATTAAAAACAAACAAAGAACAGAAGTATAAAGTAGAAAAAAAAAATGATACAAAATGTACAAATGAAGATACTACCATCCACCCCCCCCCCCCCCCCATCATCAGTTATTATTTCCAATCAGCGTTAAACAAACACGTAGAGTTATGTAAATATATATTTACGCGTACGTAATATATAAACACTATCAATTATTTCAAATATTATAGAACTCAAACAGTAAATCATATTGGGATTGCATTACCCCGTTGTACGCTACATGACGCGAAAACCTTCAAGGCCCGAGAGTGTCCAAGCTGCCTATCCCCCAACAAGACACAATTTTAAAGTGCCCCCCCCCCCCTCTCCGAGCAGTAACTAGGCTTGTAGTCCGGTCAGCTCCGTCTGGTATCCTGAGGTTTTGAGAATTCCAGTGTCATGGACAAACGAAAATCTTGAAAATTTTCATTGGCTAAAATTATTGTATAGTTTCTGGGTGCCTGGAGATGGTAGATCCATAAGTTCGAATAAAAGCTCCGTTCACATATGCCTTCCGGTCACAAAACCGTATCTTATTTAGCTAAAAATCTTCAAAATCTAAATTCCTTACTTATTTGGAAAATATATCGTACAATATTGTATATTTACGAAAAGCTTGAATGTGGTATAACCTAAAGGGTAAATCCACTTTAAAATAATTCGCTTTCAATAGATGCAGAAAAACAAGAGGAGCAGAGCAAAAAAAAATAAGGAAGTTATGATTTTTTTTTTAAATATGAAAAACTATGGAACAATGGAAATCACTACACAAATTGCCAATTTGGTTATCAGTCTGTGACGCCATTGCCTCACTATTTATCAATTGCTTTATATATTTTTATCCCATTAATTCCCCTCTTTATACCCAAAACTTGATTTCCCCATGCCTTTGCCCAGGTTATATGATTTGTATCGTATTGCGGGCATGACATTTCACAATATCTTTTATAAACTTTGAAGAATTGAAACTATTTTCAGAATATTGTATATTCATAATTATTGACTTTTATATAAATAAATTTTCAGAATTCACATTTTTCATGATTTAACTGAAAACAATTACTCTATATTAGATTATTAGTGCATCCACACAAAAACATATTATTATCAATATGACTTGGATGCTGGTGTTAGAAGATTCTCAGGGGGAAGTGAGAAATGTGTATATTACCAATAGGAAGAAAACAATAAGAGGATAGCGAGGCAATGACGTCAGGCGCGGATCCAGGGGAGCCGAGCGGTCCTTGCCCCCCCCCCCCCCCCCCCCAAAAAAGAGAGAGAGAGAAAATGAAAAGAAGGGAAAGAGGAGAGAAAGGAAAAGAAAGAAGAGGAAGAAGAAAAGAAAAAGAGAGGGAGGAAGAGATCGGGGTTGAAAGGGCCTTGCCTCCCAGGCTGTTCCCCCCTCCCCCCCCCCCCAAAAAAAAAAGAGAGAGAAAGAGAGAGAGAGAAGGAAGGAAAAGGGAAAGAGGAGAGCTAAAAGGGAACAAAAAGAGGAAGAAGAAAAGAAAAGGGTGAAAAAAGGGAGATCAGTTGCTGCTTATCCCGCCAACAGCGTGCGGAGCGGGATGGGGGCGGAAAGGCCCTTGCCCCCCCCCCCCCCCCCCCCCGGACAACCTATAAGAGAGAAAAGGAAGGGAAGGGAAAGGTAAAGAGGAGAAAAAGGGAAAGACAAAAAAAGAGAAAGAAGAAAGGTAGGGGAGATCAGTTGCGATTTTTTCCCAACAAGGTGTAACGGAGGGGGGGGGGGGCACTGGTGTACTGATAGGGGGCGGGGGCGGCTTGGTGGAAACGTGGTTTATTTCTAATTCCATAACGGTGGTTTACAAATAATGCTAAAATGACATAATTTTTCCGAGAAAGTAACTGCCAGTGGCACAAAATAATGAGGTATGAAAATATGCTCATCTGCCTATAAAACCCCTAAGCTTTCGGGGGCTCTGCCCCCTGGATTCCACCTAGGGCCCTAAGGCGGGCCCTTAGATGCTCATCTAACGGTGATTTATTGCCTTAAACCCCTGAGCTTCCGGGGCAGGGGTGGGGCAGTGGGGGCGGTCCTCCCTTAAACGCTGGCCCCAAAAAACAAAAAAATAAGAGAGAGGAGAGAAAAGGAAGAGGACGTAGGAAGAAAAAGGAGCAGACAAAGAAGATTTTTGAAGGATTAAAATAAGAGTCGAGAACGGTACAACGAATCGTCTTCTTTCTATAATGA